AATCAGTTCAGTGGTTTAGGCGTGAAAGACAGACAGACAGAGTTACTTTCGCATTTATAATATTAGTAGGGAAGTAGGGATATGAATAATTCAATGATTGAGACGTCTTTTTATTTAACATCATTAAAATGTGATAAAGATAACGTTTTTTAAAATATAACAAAATTTACATCTAAGAGCTTGTTTAACTGTTACTATGTTTATGGCTTTTGAATAACATATGAAACTAATTTCAAATTATATTATAATTATTATATTAAATTTTATAAAACCTATGTTGTAATACAATAACTTTTAATCTAGCTGCGATGGTGTCTAATAAGAAAATATTTTATAAAACTACATGTGTATATGTGTGTGTATGTGTGTGTGTGTGTGTGTCTAAAATTAAGCATTATCTCACTAACACAGGTATTCTATAAAAAAATTATACCCATTATGAGTCTTATTAATGGATTTTTTTATAAAATTTTGAATTGGCAATAAATAATCATATCCATTTAAATCTGGATACATAAACTAATGATTTAATATCGAATATTTATCATTTTACAAACATAAGCGACTATAAAATACAAAAAGTCTCAATATTTTTGCAATGATTTAATTCACTAGCCTTTATTTAACAAGTTTTTTCTTAGTTATTCCCAATCATTAGTTTATTACAAATATAAATATCTTCATATATGATTAATAAATAATTTTTAAAGCAACAATAATTGTTAAAACGATAATATATCTGACGTGTGTATGACATAGCGTAGGGGTTAAAGAAAATCTTTATCAGCTTGATAGAGCCCGCATGCAGATAGCACAACGGTAGGTTAGTTAAAATTTATGTATCAGCTGATTTTAATTATAAACGACAAAGTTTTATTGGTTCTCGTGCTAATTTTATATGTTACATTACTTAAATTTATCTCTACCTAGATAACATAATGCATTATGTATTCACTGATTCAAAGTAGAAAATATTTTGACTTAATTTCGGATACGTGTAGAACTGGCTTTGTATTTCGAAAATATTTTATATGAGATACAATCGCGTCTGAATATTTCTAATTTTAACAAAAATAATACAAATATATAACTTCTATTGAAATACGAATACTTTTTTTTAAATTTATAATCGCCAATAATCTAAGAATACGATCAACATAAAAAGATTCCAGAGCCGATTTGGAGACCGTTCTGTGTGGAGGCATTCTATCTGTTTGTATCGATTATCGGCCGATCTTTAATCGGCGAATCGTCTTACGATCGGACGTTTTGACGATAAAGGAACCCCAGTTTTCCCTCCCACGAGTTAGATAAGAAACCATTTCATATTAAAATAGGAATATTATAAAATTAAATCATCTACACCTGCCTACTCTGTTATATTAAAGTACTGTTAGGTATGACTTTGTGGTTCGAATATTCTCTTTCAAAAGTTATTATAATTATATGTAGTAATCATGATGATATAAACGCAACAGTTCTGTTTTTCAATATAAAGTTACAACTACCATAAACTTCTGTCAAGAACGAACAATTACAAAAAAACTACCATTTTCTACCAATACACACGTAATTCTACCAAATTATCTGTCAAACAATTACCGTTGGATTAACTGGATACAACTCTATGTGACAGTATTTAACTGAGTTAAGAGCGCGCTATTAAAACCTCATTATGATGAAAATTTACAATGTCACGACTTTTGTTGTTTTTTCTTTAACAATTTTATTAAGATTATGTAAATTAATTGACAGCTATAATCGTAAAAGTCTCAATGGAATCCGTAATTCTATACGTCGTTGACACTTGCAAAAAGTTTGACATAAAATTCGTAGGCTTATAATTTATTTATTATATGCTAATTGTCAGTTTTCCGGCCACGTCGTAATTCAATTTAAAATAAAATAAATATATCATATCTAGAAACTATAAATCTTTGTGGTGAGGCAGAATATCATGGCAACACTTTTTTATGTGAAAAAAATAAAAAAAAAACTATTTAAGCTAAATATATCCAATCATTGCTTAATTTCTGTCATCAGCTGACCTTTGACAGACACCTCGTTGTATTCAATCAGTTGCTCATTATTTCACCGACCTCCAGCCTTATTCTGAACCAATAAGTCATCTTTACTTCCATAACTAACTAGAAATAATATAACAGTAGAAGATTTCTGTCACACATGTGTCTAGTGTCTAAAAATTAATCCATCGAGTATGATTATTTTATTCCTAAGGCTTTTTTTTAGCAAACCACAGATTATACATAGCTTTTACATAAGAGTAACTATAATCCAAATCTAGACAGCATTACTTTTTATATAAAAATCTTCATATTGGCAAAACGAAGTACCAAGTACACATAGATTAAACTCAAATCCATTATTATTATCTAGACTGATTTACGATCAATATCGAAGTAGTAGCCTTTTCGTCTTCCTCTCATTATATACAATAACTTTATTAAAGTATAGAAACGAAATTATTTATATAGAAACCTCGTCAGTGATGTGGGAATTACGTAAAAATGTTCAGTTACAAAAACAAAGATGTACCAGATAACACTAAAACACGGTGGAGGCGATACAAGCGAGAGATAGCCGGTTCGATTCCCGACCGATCTCGCCTCCGATAACAACGTGTTTCAGAAAAATATACATTTTTAACAATAGATTATAAGATTGTTATAAACTTAATTTATCTACATACATAGGTATATATCATATCATTCTAGGAAGACATATTTTAAATTCATTATCATTTTATTTACATAAATTTTATAATTTATTGTATTTCATTTTATATCGTTTTAAACATTTCATGGTAATTTTTGTCAAAATAAAGACATAAACATTTTTTGACGTATCTTTTATTAGTTACAGAGATAATACAGTTTATAAATACATATAGCTAAATAAATTGTAGGAGGAAAAAATAACTTTTTATTGACTAGTTTTATCAAATAGACAAAAGATACTTAATCATTATTTTAAAAATTTCAATGTTATTTACATAGTTAGGATTTAAGAGTCATAAATATAATACATTACAGGTATTTGTTTTTTAAATAATATAAAAATGAAGACTGATTTTTATTCAATAAATAATAATATTTTCAATATGACAAATAAACTTATATTTCAACTTAATTTTCTACTTTTAATTGTATTTAGGTTAAGTTAACTTTTTATGTGTTTCTTTAGATAAAATCAGCTTTTTTTGTTAAAATAAACAGGAGGCTGGTTCCCGGACGAAGTTGCGGGCTAATACAAGGCCTGAATGTGAGTGTTATATAAATACTACATAATATATGTATGTAAAGAAACTTAAGAACTAGTGTCCTCTTCGGAGTTCAACACTGAGTGGATTACAAACTACAGCTGAAGAAGAACAGTCGTGTAACATCGACTAATGAGATCGCCTACCACTTAATAAAAATATGTTTAATGTTTAAAAAATAAGAAAAAATATATATATTATTATAGCTATAATTGTGTTGGATGTAAATTAAAATTCATTAATAATAATAATACTGTTATCTAATGTGTACGCATCTTTAAGTTTCGCACCAGTGCTCACAACAATGAGACACCCCCCGATCTTTGACAACATTGATAATGAACGTGAAATCTCTGTCCGAGATAACGTGCCCCCCCTCCCCCGCCCCGCGCGCCCCCCCGGCCGCCCCGCGCACCACCCCCCCTCGCTCGCCCCCACATCTTATCAGCCCATCTCGAGTTCCCATTCACAGCACACGTCATTTTTTATCAGCGTACAGACAACACGCTAAAATAATTGTTTTGTTTCCTTATTTTAAATACTGTTATGAATATTCAATGGCGACGTGTGGATCAAAAAAAAAATAATCTAATCTAAACCCTCATTGCAAGTATGTATAGTGTTTAATTCGTGAATATAAATCAGTTTTTAGATAGCACTTAATTAAAATCTTGCGAAATAAAACATAGTTCAGTCTGTGGTCGGGTTTGACATTGACATGTATCAATATGGCGTCGCCGCACAGCGCGGGAATTTAAGATGTCTCATGTCGTAATGCTTACATGTCAAGTCTTTCAGATGTTTTCGCGAGAACATGTACGGTTAACAAATGAGTGGTAATAAATACGTTACATTAGTATAGTGTTTAAGTCTGTTTTGTGCGTTGTTAATATATTTTATGATGTATCTCGTGCTTGGCAAGGATAGTAGTTTTTACAGCGATTGCGATCTGACCTCCGGCCGTTAAAGGCGAACCAGTAACTTAGATTAATCTCTAAGTTAACAATTATTTATTATATGCTAAGATTTTATGTTGATATAATGTCTGTTGAGGAGGCGATGTGGTTTATGTTACAAGGGAACAAGTTTGATGACGATTTAATATTATATATTATAGGGCCTCCAATATTGTTTTGACGAAATTAAAAGAAGACGGATAAACTATTCTACAATCAAAATAAATTCTAACGTCAAAATGGAACTTTATCTACGGAGTGTTCAGTTTTACGACAAACATTATTCCAAGTTACATTTGAATAAAATTCGATAAGATATATCATCAAACATGTACTCTACAAATATATGTGTTATAAAATATACCAGATAAACAAATAATTATTAAAATACTCAATGAATGTGAGCAGGGTGTATCTAAATTAGTCTAAGCAGAAATCAGTCGGAATATTTGAGCAGGCGACATGTAAATAACCACAAGCAATAGATTAGTAACGAGATAATGATACACTTATCATTTGTTTGAACATCCTTCGGACGGCTACTCCACGAGCACTGACACAAACAAGATTAAAAACTAAAACATTACTCTTATCTTAAATCTAGAGTCGTCAACATGTGGAACAATGTAACATTCTATACAGCTCTGTCAGCGTACGTATGAAAATAACGTTTTAATTATTAGAGTTAATTAAATTATTTGAATATAACAACATTTGTGTGACATAATTTCAAACAAGACGTCCGGTACGTACAGATTGTTTTGATGCGCACAGCGCCGCCTGGCGGCAGCTCGGCCGCACTGGCGCACGCCATCTCCAGCTGCTTGAGGTAGCTGAGCCACAATAACATCACAACACTCGGGTCAGAGCACGACTCTGTCTACGGGCGCGCGGGTTTTCGTGTGCGACGTCATTCTTTTGCCGCGTAATTTTAGTGACTGGCTCGGCAGCGTCGCCCTCGCCCCACCCCGCCGGTGTGTGTGGTGTGTGTACAAGCTGTGGGCACGCACACAGGCGCAGCCGATCCCTTATCAGTTCGGTTTAACTAGCAATGGCCCGAGATCCTATCGGCCCGGAGCTCGCGGTAACGTTGCATTGAAAGATAACGTCAGCGATGCTATCTCTGTTTGAATAAACTTGTATAAAATGACAAATAAAAAGCTACGCCATACAAGTTTACGGCGATATTTGGAAGGTCGCCGACTGTGGAATGTGACGCGAAAAACTTCTTGCATTTAAACATATCACCTACAAACGACGACGGCTACCAAAAATGACACTTCTTGCTTGATGACTTTCAAATAGATTTCAGGAGGAGTCCATAAACTGTCCATGTTAAGCAAGACAGATATAAAACTAATCAAGAGTGTACCTTCATGTATTTTCTTCTTTATCTGAGGAATTCAAAATCACGATAATAATAATTTCACGTCGACTACGTTATCTCACGGCTCGTGCATAAAAGAACCTTGGCCATTTACTTTCTATTTATACAAACAAACACTTCATTGTCAATAAACCGACGCAATAAAGATACATTTATATGAAATCCAGCGTCGATTGTGATCTAGCACACTTCGGACCATCGGCGAGTTATCTTGGAGGAGATCGAAAAACACTCGATAGGGAATCGATATTAAACTCACAGTCACTCGGACAACAAATCGATTCTGTTACTCGACTCTCCTGTAATGTAAATATAGTTTTAAAACACAGACAACTGTTTGCCAATAGTTTTAAATAAACTTTTATTATCAATTGAATGTGTTAATTAAGCATGGCCAGCTGTTGATTTCGTTTAAGATAACACTTGGTATTCATAGTGGGTTATAAGTATCTTAGGAATTAAATATTCATAGACTTTTATCAAACGATCTGTGATTATTCAACATTCGTAGAAAGAAAAATAAAAAGACGTTATATTATATGAAAAATTTTATGGCGACTTCTCAATACATTTCTTTCTAATTTTCAGATACTGAGACGTGTTACAAGACATATTTTTTTGTCACGGTCTGAATATGTAGTGAGTGTGTTATAGATAACGTTTTAGTCTATTTTAATACATAGAATGTGTTCGTAGCGTAACAGTAGATGCTGCGATAAGATGCTGTAGATATCAGCTCCACACACCTGTCTGTCGGTCATCTGAGCGAGACGTACTTCATTGTCGAGCCTTTCATCTTATATCATGCATCACTCGTGTGATTGTTCACTTATTAAAGTCTACATCTACAAAATATTCTCGTCTATGACTAGACACTGGCATGTTTAAGTTTATTATTTTGCTATGATATATATAACACTAGTCTTTGCCCACGACTTCGTGTTATATAGTTTCAGAATAAGCAATGTACATATAGCTGACCGGGCGAACTCTACTCTAACTTAAACACAGTAGATAAGAAAATTTTCTATATGATCAACTTATTTTTTTGATGAAAGTGTCCTATGTCCTTTCCTTATTCTAATCCATCTCGCCACCAATCTTTATCCAAACCCGTATAGCCGTTCTTGAGTTATAAATAGTGTACCTAACATGACTTTCTTTTGTATATACATATAAATTAATCAAAATTACCTACATAGATTAAAAATGCCTAATGATAAAAATAGATTGAAATAACTTGAAATCTCCATATTAAAATGTTCCTGATTTTTCATTTATCATAATTAAAGAAAATTCAGTACATATTAATAAACGTCATATATAAAAACTTGTTTTATTCTCTATACTTCTGGTTGTCTTTTTCGCGTTAAGTGCCGTTGAAAGCGTCTGTCTGTTATATTATTATGTATCACAGATTGTCAATTATTTCTAAATTTCTTTATATATTGCTCCGGAGACTTGACATACTTGTAATATTTTCTGAAGAACTTTATTAGCACCTTGTGATGTATTTACTTTATCCGTCAGGAACAAAAAAGATTAAAATGAAACTGAATATAAATTGACTGCTTAGTTATTATAAAGATTTAATTATGATACAAACTTTTTTGTAAATCTTAGGTCGGAAATCCATAGGTCTTATACGACTTGTAAATGGTTTAATAAATGTCAAAGTCTTCAAACTGCCAATCCATAAACAATGATAAAACTTGGAAAAGCGTATTTATAAAAAAAAATTACATTGACAAAAAAAATTCCACGATTCCAGTGCAAAATGAAGGGTTAACTTTAAAAATTTAAAAAATAATCTAATAAGTATATTGGACAGTTGGTTGATAGACAGTTTAGTAGTTATAGACAGATCCTAAAATTAATGTTGATGAAACATACCTACACAAATTTTAAGTAGTACAAGAAATTTGAAACCAAAGATTGTGAGTTATGTTGCAAATATTTTATATATAAAAATAATTCTTGTATATGATAAAAATAACATAATAAATATTGAAAGAATATATATACTATACGTTATTTATAAACTTGTACACGTGTATGTAACTTAATATTTCAAAGAAAAAAAATATTTATCCTGATATATAAAAAACTTTTAAATGACCAATCATTGAAATGAGAGCAAAATAAAATCATTATTATCTCAAAAATATTGAACTCATTACTGATGCACATAAAGTATGTATATAGTAAATGTTTAGATCTGACAAATTCAACACTTATATAGTAGATAGTATTCAATGTATTGTAGTTGTAACGTTATATACAAGTGTTCAGGAGCCGGCGTGTCGTAAACAACAAAAAAATACTCAAATTCATAAGAAAGCTCAGATAACGGTGGCGCCACCTACATCCACTCAGATAAACAAAATGTATAAATCAATCCGTGTACTCAGCTGATAAGAGTGATAAGGAATTAATAAGATTTCGGCCCCTAATGGACTCCTAATGCGACCGAGATATTAGATTTTTATTACTATATCCTTTTAAAAAATCTCACGTGTTATATTCATGTTTGTGTTGTTCACAGAATATTTGTGTTCAATGTTTTAATAAAATAAATATTTTAAAGTCTTTACGATGGCAGAACAAAGTAAGTTTATAATAATAATCATTATATTCTAAACGATATTATCTCCGAACACATATGCAATGACGTTGCAGATATGGATCTGTTTTTTTTTTTAATTTTGAATATCGAACTAAGTAAAGAATAAATTTTAAAATCCCATTCTGAGAAGCCGGATTTGATATTCTTTATATACAAAGGTCAAAAAATTATTTTAGGAAAATACTAATTTAGAAAAAAACGATTATATTTATTAATATTAAAAATGAATGTCAGTTAATTTGTTAATTACGATTTAATTGTCAAATTTAGAAAAAGGAAGTTACGTACATACATATAAAAAATATAAATGTAAAAGAAAACAATTCCTAAAAAAGTTTATTACAAAGCATATATTGAATGTATTACTATGAAGGATGTATATTAATAAAGATTAATCCGATTTAAATGACACATTAGACTGGACACATTCTTGACGGCTGCATCATGAAATGGAAAGTAACTCGGCTGGCGCTTGAAACATTTTGTTATAGAAAGTGAAAACTAGATGAAATAACATCGGATCATTTAGAATTAATAAATGATGATAGCTTCATTGGCTGAATGATATCAGTATGTGCGTTGTTTTTAATAAATTTTTTTATTAATATGGCGTCGTTTAAGTCTAAAACTAGTAGTTTTAATCTTGTAATTCGTGTATTCCATCATAACAGCGACGGCCCATATTGCATTGTGAGGCTAATTGGATAGAGATGTTTATCAGGGAACGATAAAATGGAATAGATAACATTCTGTAGTGACTTATTAAGGTCGTTCTCAGAATAATATTAGATTGGACGATACGAGCCGTGTGTGGAGGGATAGCAAAAAAATACAATTCCACTTTTTTTATTATTCGAATTTTAATCCGATTTGAATCTGTGAGGTATTTTAATAATATTTTTTTGTACTCCTATAGGGTTACGTGTTTCTTTATATTTGTTTTTTGTATTGACTCATACTTGAGAGATTTAGATACGTGTATGATCAGTACAAAATATCGATCAGTTGATATAAATGGTATTAGTTTTTGGGTGCACTTATCTTTACTATGATTATAAGTATGTATGTTATTTTTTCTGCTGTCGTTACATCCTATCAAGCATCAGAACAGCGAGCAGTGTTGTGTAGTTTTTTGCGAAACTGTTCCCGATGCTCTCCAGTACAGAGATTCCCTGAAATCATCACTGAAGCTGCGACTCCGCAGTTTTTACGGACTAATATCGATTTATGATCCATCATAATGCAATTATAAAATTAACAGCGACGCCATAGGTTTACTAATGACTCGGACACTGAACATTATACGTTAACAAATAATAATCGCACAAAAATCGTGAGCGACATCTCGGTTATAATAAACTGAAATGAAACTAATATTTTAATTATTTTTTGTATATACTACGCGATTGTTATTTCTATCAAATACTACATACTCCAGACGTTTCGGTTACTTTACAGCAACCGTGATCACGGAGTATGTAGTTTATAATCAAAAATAAATTCGCGTAGTACATCCGGAAAAACATTAGTTTCATTTAAATGAATTGTTTAAATGACATTATGTTAAGTAACAGTTAATGAATATCAATAAGGAGGTGTGAATCTTTATTGATGAACCATAATTATGATGGTACAACTGAACTATTGGAATCGTGACCTGATACAAATCTTATTGAGGATGATGACGCGTTTACATTCGGCTAGTACTGGAACGTTTAATTGTTCAAGTGATGATAAACATAAAATTTATATAATAAACAAATGATATTAAAACCTTAATAATATTATTTTACTTTTAAAATACATTAAATGGATTAACTAACGTCTGAAACGAGAAACTGTAAGTCTGTAGTTTATCAATTCAAACACGTAGTTAGTGTACTTGAAGCAAGTCCACTGTCTCATTCAAGCGAGGCATAACACACTGATCTGTCCAACGTCATAGTATTGGTAGTGCTGCGGTTTTCCTTCACTTGTTTTTAATATTTTTTATCACAACCAGAAAAACAGAGTCATGGCTTCGATGCATTCATCTATATTTATATGTAATCGCTGTATATTATTCTAGTAATTGATAAATATTGAGAAAAATAATGTAATAAACAATTCTGGTGTAAA